TCCTTAACTAGGCAACAGGATGATTTGCTGGACTGAATAAAAAGGAGGAAAACTAAATAAAAATTGTACTAAAACAAAGCTGAGTGGCAAAAATATTTTTTTAAAATCCTTTTTAGAAGATTTTCTAAGTGTTACACCTCACTATTTGAAAACACAGCAGTGGCAGTAACCAGACTTACAAGGTTTACCCCCCTCCCCGCCTTTAACCGCACAGCCTGATTACCAGACAATCTCTTCTCAGATGTCTCTGAAACCAGTCCGTCAAGGGCCGACTGATTACTGTACACAAATACCAGGCTAATATCCTCCGTCGATGGCAAACAACAGGATGTGTGCACCGCAATCTCTGGCTTTCTGCACGGCTCTGTGTGTGTGTGTGCGCGTTTGGCTCTGACTCATCTTCAGAAATCTGTGTTTTGATTGCAGAAAGTAACTGCGGGTACGCCTCTTTAAGAAGGACGTCTATGCTCTCTCTTCCCCATTTGCCGCCACTCTGACGAATGGTTATTATTACCGTCATCAGTGGAGAGAACGGCGAAATCAGGACCCCGACAAGCAATCTCTTCTCTTCCCACCACTGCAAGAAATAACTGTCATTGCACATTATTTCATCTGACATCGGTTATGAGGATGTTTTTCTTGGGGAAAAAGAAGCAGAGAAACCTGCCTACATTTTATTCTACTTTAAAATCAAATATCTTAATACAGATGTGACAAACAGTTTCATTCATTAAAAAAAAAAAAAAAAAGCCATACTCACAAAAGAAATCTTGTAAAAAGGGAATGATCAGTGGTCTAAAGCGGAATGACAGCCTCTATTTCTTACTAGATCGAAGAAAAATCTCATTTCAAAGACCAAAAGGTTCATCATGTTTTGCACAGTGTGGTTTAAGAAATGTAACTTCCATGCAGAGTATCTTCCATTTTTGGATGCATCAATGTTTTTTTTCTTCCACGTCCTTCAAACATGAACATCCTACAAATGTTGCATTGCAAAGGTAACTTCTTAAAGTGGTACAGTCGATGGGTTGAATTGGATATTGCCTCTATTTCTAACTAGCAGACAATCTTATTTCAGCACTGAGATCGTTATTTTTTACAGAGTATGTCCCTCTCCCTGTCCTCTCTATCCAGACGGCGTACTTATGTGCATCCTACAGTCGTGTTGACAAGAGGGAGGCTTACAACTGGCACAACACAAGCCCCACTACAGGCTTAATAGCATTTCAAGTGTTTTCTCCCGGACTCGCGTTGAAATCTCCCGACTGAATATCGTGAAGGGCTGAAGGAGCCAGTTTGAATGCACATGCAACAATCCGGGATGACACCACAGAAGATCAGTAGATCTGGCTAAATTTGAAGGTTATCATTTCATTTAGACGGCTGCTGTTGATAAGATATTGATACAGTAATCGTCTATTCAAGAGCAAGCGAAATGACCCTCAGGTTCACAATAACCCCATTCAAAGGCCAGTGAGTCATGATTGCAGATTTTTCTGTCTGCTAGTGAGTCAGGTAGATAGTCAGCCCGTCCTCAGAACACAGAATAAGAGCTATAGTTAAGCTCTTTCTGGGGCTTAGCAACAATAATCCAACCCACAATTCTCCTCTCGTTCTGAACCCAGAGAGAGGATGAAAGATTTAGACTCTCACCCTTGGTCTCTGAAGCCTTGCTCTTTCCCTCTTCTTTTTTATTCCTCTCTTGCTCCGAACCATCTTTACACCCCTCTCCATTCTCTGTTTGTCTCTCGTTATCCTTCACCCCATGACTCAGAACAGGAAAAGATCTTGTGATGATTATTTCACGAGCGTGCTGGTATCATCTTTGTGGGTTTTCTCGACTGTTCTCATCCAGGAGGAGGTTTACAAAGCACTGAACAGAGAGCTGCCTGCTCTCTTCAAAGTAGACCTGCTACAGAACTTATTGAACTAGTAATGGTAGAACTTTCATTATGTCAATATTCAAAATAATTACAACAAATAAGTATGATATCATCTGCATAGAGTGATACTTAATGCTTCATAGTTTGGGTTTAACATTCTTATTTATGCTCGTCAAGAAAAGACTTAACTAGTCTTTGCTCTTAGAGAGAGCTGTGGTTCTTCAAGAATGGGATCTTTGGTTTAAGATTTATTTTAAGCTCAAAACAGCTGAAACATGTTCAGTACAAGCAATCATTTTGATTTTATTTAGTCTGACAATGATTCCTAAATTTGCCTAATTAGGCGCATGGTTGAGTGTATTGGATGTTCTTCAGGAGGCTTAAGGCTCGCCTCAGCTCCACCTCTTTGGGCTTGATAATTCCTCTTCAGATCCCTGAGACGAACACCAGCAAATAGTCCTACCTATGAGTAAGTCATTGTGTGTGCTACCAACCGTTTAAGTGGTTCTCTTATTCGCACAAATATCCTTCTATCTCTCACTCATCAAATGCATTCACATCACCTCTTTCTTGTATCCCTTTCAGTGAGACAATGCTTTCAATGATATTGCCCACACTTCCTGACTGCTGAAACATTACACCTACTATGATCGTGATTCTGGACAAGCTAATTACCGTGCCAGCTCTGACATTCATTTCTCAAATGAGCTTTTGAGTGACACGGCAAAAAAGGCAGAGGCGGTGAAGCAGACAAGGGTTTAAAAGGAAATCTGAGGAATTAAATATACAAAACTCATTTAGTCCTCACTAGTACTTCCACCCACTACATACTATTACCGATCTCTCTGTATTCTCAACTCATTTGGCAGCTCGTATTGCCCCTCGACTGGCATCTAAAGGCTTTGATGTAGTCGGTAGCCGGGCCAGCGCTGTGGCAACCTGTGTTTGAGAAGTCTGTGGGCTGCCCTCTCTACATCCCCTTTTTTCTATTTTCCTTTTTTTGTCTGTCCGTCTCTCTCTGGCAGTTAATGAGCCATGCAGGACCGCCATCATTCTGTGTAGTCATGTCGAGAGTCGGAAAGAGGTTGAAAGAAAGCGATAGAAATACTTTTCTTTTTTTTTTTAAGAGACGGAGAGAGTGGGGACATGATGTTTTCCTTCACCTCCTCCCTAATCAGGCCCGTCTTCCAACCCAACACCACACGGCAATTAGACCTGACAGTACTCCGACTCCCACAATCCCACCAGGACTACACGTTCAAACAAACACAAGAGGGGGGGGGGTGTGTGAAATGCCTGAAAACAGGCCGACTTCAAGCAAACAGACCTCCTGATAGCAGTGAGGTAAAAATCTAAAATCTATGAAGACATAAAGAATAGAAAAACTGAATTCTCAGCGTCCCAATGCTCACGGCCAGATGTTTGGCAGGAAAAGTGGTCATGACTGTGTGGGGTGTGCAGAAGCAGGCCTGAAATCCCCCGAGGACCCCTTTGGAAGAGATAACAAATACAGTGGAGCTGGTTTGCATGAACAGTGAGCTAATTGGGATAATTAGTTTGTTACCTCGCTCGTTATTGCATTTTAATGTGGATTCCAAATAATGGCGGGGGGGGTGGGCGATGTGAATGTATGTTTTTTTTATGTTTATGTGCTTTTGTGCATCTGTGTCTGGCCACGTGCATTAAGAAGTGTATTCAATTAGCAGGCGGATACGGTTACAGGAACGTATTCTAACCACATACAGTAATTGTTATGGTTTGGAAATAAGTGCTCACAGTATTAAATATCATTAATCCTGTGGCTGCGTTGAATGCATTCAAAGTTAGTTCTTTTTTTAATTAGCATTCCCTGTGCAGAGTTTCTCCCCGTCATCTCAGTTTATTCTGTTCTACATTTTCCAACAGCCTGCGATTCCACAACTTTCACAGACGGGACAGAGACTTGTTGCTTACAGCTGGGGGGGGTTAAATGTGTAGGCAGGGAGAGCAAGAGAGAGAGAGAGACTTTCTCCAGTTGTTATACTTTGCTTAAATTACAGTGTGAATAGTGGACAGCTAGCCACTAAATCTTCCTCCTCTGTATACGTTTTCATTGATACACATGACTGGAAAACGGGGGGGGGGTTCAGAAAGATGTCCTTGCTCTTTCATTCTTCGGGAATCAAAACCTGAACCTGACTTTTTCATTCTTTTGATTTACTGACGGCTCAAAGACTCTTTTATAGATGTCCAGGAAATATCTCAATGTGACATTGTTAGCATTACGCAATGTCAATCGCGTGCCTTTGTTAGGAGCAAAGACATTAAAAGGTGCAATAAAAACAGAACAGATGGGCGTAGAAGTGTGGACATTTACTTTGGATGTACAAGAGTGTATTTTTACTTTACAATTACAGTAATGATGTGATGCTGCTTTCACAGACTTTTCCACCTTTTTTCTCTGGGATTAATGATCAAATAGTTTCATGAAGCCAGAGCAGGTCAATTGTTTTTATGAGTTAGAAGGTTGTTGGCTCAAGGATTTTTGGCTAAATTAAAACCACAAGGGGGTAAACTCCAGATCCCTCATGTTTAGGTCTTCTTGTTTCTGTGACACTGGTTCTGTGTTTGTGCTTCAGGTATGAAACAGATGACAGGCAGGATGAAATGAAGCCCAGAGAAGAGGAGCATGTGTCCAGCTGATGAGAGATACGCTGTGTGTCACCGCTGAGGCCCTCCCCTCCCTCTCATGAAAAAGCCATTTCAACCCCACACATCAATAGCCAACTCTCCAGAGCAGAGCGCAGCAATAATTCCAGATAAATCATTCCCTCACGGAGCCACTTGCTGCGTTCAAACGCACCCGTGACCTTCAGCTCTGCCTCTTTCTACATCATATAGCCCGGGAATATAAAAGCTTATTAGCTCAGAACATTGTTGATACGTTTGTTCGAAGGCAATGCACTAATGAGGCGTTGCAGGATGCCGCTGCAGACTCTCCGTTTGGAGTCCCACCCCCCCCTCCACCAGAGGAGCAGAACAGGCGGCTAATGGCATCTCTTTCACAAATGGGCAAATGTAAAAAAAAAAAAAAAAAAAAAAAAAAAAGAAGAGGGATGAAGTGCAATATTGCTTTACCATATCAAAAGGAAGAGGCATCGGAGGATTGTGCGACTGTCTGTTGGCGTGTTGATGGGCGAGCAGGAGGGAGGGCTTCAGTAGACACGTGATGGACAGTGTGAAGAGCTGCAAAAAAGACGATACAGATAAGACAAATAAAGAGAGAGACATAAAGCAGGAGGTAGTCAAACAGACAAAATGACAACACTTTCTAAAACGTAGCGGCAATATGTTGAAGAAGAGGCTCAAAAAGACATTAAAGAAACACATTTCAGATTTTAAAAAAAAACAACTATACATCCTTCTGTCTGGTTTACTTCACTATGCTGCGCACTTTGTGTATCCCATGACACTCACGTTATAATGTTGACACTCTCAGTCACAGCAGCAGCAGCTCCATGTTTACAGGCAAGAGTAGCTGAAGAAGAGAAAGAAGAGAGCTTTCTTTTTTTTACAGGACTGATATCTGGAGCGTCAATATTGTCCTGCCATTCAAGCTGTTTTCAGTTTATTTTATTACAGTCCTTTATGCTGACTTAGGTTTTTACTTTCAATCTTTCTAGGCTAGCAAACTACTAGCGTGAAGTACTGTGAGAAAGCACGTCCTGTTAAATGATGAGGTAACTCACCTGGCTCACTGTTTGTACAGTGCAGCCTAAAAGAGAGCAGGTAAATGCATTTCCACATCACAGGTTGTACATCGAGCGCTCTGAGTGACATTCCACTGCAATGAAACATATGCGATCGAGCTAAGGGGGCTATGCTAATCAACACTTAACTACTTGTCAGAAAACAGGGGGAGGGTCCACACTCTCTGGGACCAAAACTGCTCAACACCAGAGGGAATTCATTCCCACTGTTTCAGTTTTTTTCTGATCACCAGCTTCTATTTTTAATTTGACTTTCCCATCATACACCAGAAGACATTTGGAGCGGCGGCATCCCCAGCAATCAAGACAGAAGTCCTCATTACACCATCTTTTCCTCGTCCCTTACTTATTTGGTAAATTCACATCCCGCCCCGGCCCCCGCGCACAGCTTATTTTTGCTGAAAGCCCCAAAGGACCCGAGTCTTCGCACTCTCTGCGCTCGGAGACGTTGGGAGACTCTCACTCAAGGGCCACCTCCGAGGGGGAAACGATTTCCACTTTGTTCTGGCAGCAAGCGCTCTGTGGGGAAGAAATGTCTAAGAAGGCCCACATAATTAGAGGAGGGGAGTGAGAGGTAAAGACGAAGCCCTGGTTTAGATATGAACTCAAAATAGTTAATCAACTCAGGCTTGGACTCACTTTTTTTTTTTTTTTTCTTTTTTGAAAGACATGTCGACAGCGTCACCCTGGAAACGTTCTCTAATGCATTCACATATTTGAGGTGAGCCGGGGACACGGGTAGGGAAACGGTCTTGAGGAAAGGAAAATAAAGACTCCTTAATTATTTCCCCGTCGAGTTTGTGCTTTCCTTAAATTGGAAAGTGTTGCAAAAATAATTCAATTACTGAATTAAAAAAAGGAACCGCTGACTTCCAGTTGGCCATCTTGGAGGCATTGCATCATGGGGATTTTTAACTGAAAGGACACGTGTCCTCAATCCTCTGTGTGATGTCATTTCTGGCGCTGCAGGAGATTCAGTGAGCCAAAGTTGTTGTTCTTTTCATTTACCTTTTAAAACAATGAAGAGAATGATGAGGCAGGTTGCATCATAGGAAGTGTAGTTCAGTGTTTTGTGGATCATACAAGGAACCAAAGTCTTGATAGTTCATACCCAAATGTCTCATCTACCTCCTCTTATTCTACTGAAGGACAATTGTACATCACTAGAATACTTATCTGAGACGCCAAGTGTCTCTTATATTAAGATATTTCCTAAATGATGAAAAATAAATCCTTCTTTATCTCACTTTTTAAAGAAAAGTGGGCAAACAGCACAAGTGTATATTCACTCCGTCTGTGTTGTTGAGGCACTTGAGAGAGAAAAAGCTGCAGTTTAAGCCCAAACTTGCGATGCGAGCCGCGAATTCCCTCAGTGACACCCTCCTCCATCCCACCTCCAGCCCTCAGCTAAACATCCCCGCTCGCAAAAATACTCACACCCTCACCAAACACATCCACACAAACACACACACACACACACACACAAACACCTTGTATTGTCTTCAGCTCTGCTCAATTATTAATGGATAAACAAAGAGCCGTGAACTGTGATGGGCTGTCAGCAGATATTTTCCCCCCTCTCATATCTTGGCGGCCCAGGAAACGTACACGAGAGCTGGCAGTGTAAAGAGGGAGGAGAAGCTTAAGGTCAAACTCCTGCACACACACACACACACACGCGCACACACACACAACCAGATGTGCATGAATGTATTCGCAAAAACAGATACAAACAACCAGGAGATCTGCGTGGAGTACAGATAGTCTAAAAATGTCAGGGGGAGCTGCATGTGTGTGTGTGTGTGTGTGTGTGTGTGTGTGTGTGTCAGGGAGAAGTGGAGCAGATAGCTCATTTCCTCTACTGAGACGCTTAGCTGCCTCCTCTCTCAGGAGGTTGGCTAGCCATGTGTGTGTGTGTGTGTGTGTGTGTGTGTGTGTGTGTGTGCGTGTACACCTAACAGACAACAGACTCTCCTGGGGAAGTTTGGATGATGTAAGGGAAGCTCATCGACTTTGCTCGGAACAATTCTTAAAAAAAGTGTCTCTTCCAGACAAACGGGCACAAATAGTTACAATAATCAACGTTTTTTTTGGAGTGAGAGAAGAAGAAGAAGAAGAAGGAGATTGCATCAGGAGCGATGATGGAAATAAATGAAGTCCTGCTTTTTCCACGTCTTCGTTTGCCGTTTGTTGTCCCCGGTTGTTGTTTTGGTAATTTACAGGAAACGCTGCTCTGTGGATATCAATGCGTGTCTGTATTAACCGGGAAGTGACTCAAATGAGCCGTGATGTCATTCGAAGCTTTCTGTTAGCAATGCGGCGTCTTATTCAGCCATCTGCCACGCACTGCGTGTTTGTGTGTGTGTGTGTGTCGTCGCTTGTTTCTTCTTCCTCTAATTCAGTTTGTAAGTGAGGATGTCAGTGAGATTTAAAAAGGTTTCATTGGTGTTTTTAGTTCATCTACTTATCAGATTGACTGAAGTATACGATGATTGATGGATCTTTGTTAGTAATAATAAAAATTCCCTAAAAATGTCTTCAGAATGAAGAAGACTGACTTGATTTCTTCACAAAATTGTTTAAGTTATTATAACAAACTCATACCATTACTAATAAAAAATATTTCAGCAAAGAAGTCATGGATGCACAACCTGTCTGCACATTCACAAGCCAGAGCTGGTGAATGTATTTTTTACTGCTTACTCCCCTGCAATACACACACACACACACACACACACACACACACACACACAATGTGCGATATCACATGCACATACCATGCACAGGGAAAGAAAAACACTGGTGTAAGTTCCCCTCAGCTGTACACACACAAATCCATCAAACTGTGGCGTACATCTCCGACTTGTTAAGGTACTATTTGTCAGCTGCTCCTGGAGTGGCTGTGTGACTCCAACACTAATTGCCACTGGTGCTAAATTTAGTCGGGGAGATATGAGTCCTTTTGATCAGAAGCACTGAATCTAACACAAAAAAAAAAAAATGTGCTCAGCCTCGCAGGCAAGTTTACCCGCCTCTCCCCGCGCTCTCCCCCATCTTCCTGTCGCTGGGGAATAGGTGAACTATTCCATATGTCAGCCTTGTCAATCAGAGGCAGAAATATGGGAAGTGCTCTCTCTCTCTCTCTCGCCAAAGATCCTGGGTAGATGTTGTTCGCCTCTCTGAGAATTCTGCCACCGCTCCGCCGCGTGTTTATTTATTTCCGTGTCATCATGGGTGGTGTGCAACCTCAAGACAAGAAGGGAATATTAATCAAAACAATCTCAGCCAGGAATTTTAATTGTAACGTTAATCAATCATTGTAAATGAGAAGAGGGCGCGTCAGCGCGCTAAGTAAACTTGTTATTTGGAAGATGCTGCGTTCAAAGTAAAGGGTTTGAAATGTTGGACTGGCAAGGATTCATTATTTGTATGAATTAAGATCCATCAAATGCCAGAGTTGAAGCAGTTGTTAATCAACTGGTGGGAAATAGGAAAAAGTTGGGTGATATGATTCTTCCTCATCTTAAGGGTATTAACCCTCAGTTTGATATAAAAGAAAGTTTAGCTGTTTTTACTGGTCACAGATAACAACACCAGTATCGTCTTCAATTATCACTGAAAATATGGTAACGAGTATTGGCAAGAATGCCAATCAACACGCAATCTGATTTCATAATACTTCCAACAAATCCAACTGGTTGTACCTAAATCATGATTAGCCAATAAAAACAACGACAGTCCAGTGCCAGCAGAGAGTTTTCAAAGTGTCAGTAATCAATGCACTGGTATCAGAGGTACTTGGTATTGGTCAACACTGAAGTCAGGGTATCAATAAAGAGACTGGTCGTAGGCTCCCTGTTTCAGAAGTGAAGCCTTAAACTTGCATTCTTTCTGAAGGCCAACAGGGTGCGACTTCTCCTGTTGCTAAAAGACACTGATTGATTGATAAGACATTACCACACCAAGCACCTGGCACCAGACTGAGCAATGAATGCATCTCTGTCCTTGACATCTTTGCTGTTGACCAAATATTTTCACTTCTGGTGTCAAAAAACAAAGATGGTGGCAGCCAAAAATTGACAAACCCTAGGTTTTTAAACCAGGACTCCACAAACATTACTTCAGCTATTTCCTTCAGATCTGAGTCATCGCCTGCATCACTTAGAGGATCATCTGGAGCGATAAAGTTGATGCAAATACGTCAAAACATGTCATCACTTGATTTCTCCTTTTCAAAGTTATCTATCCAGCAGTTCAGAAAAAGCAAAGTTGTCTGTTTACTGATTAATGTCATGAGTGCTATCAAGACTTCCATAACTCACAAACCTGAGTTTTTTCATGCAGTGAAGGTCACAGCGAGCAACTTTATCTTCAGCGAAAAGCTCCATTCTGCACCAGTGTCACCAATAAATTTCCTATTTTGATCCGTTCCAGTGACGTGATGCCGTCCAGAAGGCTCTTATTGTAATGAATACATTTTTCATAATCTGGCCCGATGGCTAAATAAAGGGCTTTGTGGAGAGATTGATCTCTGTGAATAGAACATCCATAAAGGGTGCAAATCATGCTAAAAGCACCGTCTAAACAAGACGCATAAAGGCCAAGGTTGCAGCAGCTCTTAAAGAAGCTCTTTATTTTCTGGATACTTTGTTTGTTTCTTGTCTTTATGCCCACCATAAATGAAGGTGCAGCCAGCCTGGGCTACAAAGAAGTCGGTTTTCTGAGACCTTGGTAAAGAGTTTGCACTCACGGATGCTCCGTTTCAGCA